GGGGGGGGCCCGCCGGCCCGACGGGAGCCGCTAAGGGAAAAAGTTTCCGACGTCCGTGCACGCGGCGTGCGTACACCTAATGTGTAATGGACGTGAACAACACATCTCGAAGAACAACAGTTACAGAAGGTAAGTAACCATTCTTTATGTTCTACAAAAAAGAGACTCCGTTATCAGCAGTAAGAAATGAGGCCCAAAGTCAAGTTATCCTCGGTAGCAGAGCTTTCAGCTCTTCAGAACTGGTGGCTTGCGCTAGAAGCGGTACAGGAGTTAGTTCTTGATGCCCAAGGAGAATTCAGGAACCATTTTTCTGTTTGTAAATGGTACATGTAGCACCTGTGATCGGGGCCCTATTATGCTAGAGACATGGGAGGGGACATCCCTACCCACGAGAGCTTGAGCCAAAATCTCTTGAGATGCAGCTCAGTGCTATAACCACATGTTCATCCTTTCTACAGCCAGCCACCTGATTATTTCTACAAGTGAGCCGTGAATACCCACACTAACCAGCTCTTTTATTCTCCCTTCAGGTTGTTAGGCCTGTAAAAAATTGCACCTGGACACAGTCCTCTTGGCAGCTGGAATTTCCCACGCTGGATGGTATAGTGCCTGCGGCAAGCCCCCCGAGAGGAAACATGGCCCACTAGCATTTCCCAGGACAGGGCAAGGTTTCAGGATGGCAGCCCAGAGGATTCGTGCTGCCAACTCCAGTGGCCTCCCGCGCTGCAAGTCCGAGGGGACGCTGATCGACCTCAGCGAAGGGTTTTCGGAAACCAGCTTTAGTGACGTCAAAGGTGAGCAGGATTTTGCAGCATTTGATATTTGTATTACAGTAGCAGGTGGCTCTGACTAAGACCAGGGTCCCATAGCATTAGGCTCTGTATGTACATATAATAAGACAGTACTGGACAAGACATACGAAGGGGGCACGGGGAGAAAGGAATGGTGGTAAACTGACTCTTCAGGTGGGAAATGAAGGGGTGAAGTAACGTGCTCAAGGTCCCACAAGGAGCCTGTGGCAGAACTAGGAATTGAACCTCAATCTTGAGTCCCTGTTTAGTCCCTTAACCAGCACCGACTGCTTTCCCCTGCAATTTGATTTTCCTAATTTTCTAGTTTAAAATATCTCCTCCTTAAGGGGGTCAAAGTTTTGAGGGGTTTTTGTAAACACTTAGAAAGACCTGGGATCTTCCACAGCTGACTGGAGCACTCCGTGTCAAGGCAGTTTGGAGTCAAGGGCTGTGTGAACACAGACCCTAACTGGTATGGTGGAAGCAAGTGAAAATAGACTAGGCTCCTGATTGATTTCCATTGTCCTCTCCTGAAAGGGACACTTTCAACTAATTTATTACAATTGTGTTTAGTTCATTATCTAACAAATATTGATTTGTGAGTGGCAGGAAAGTAGGTTGTGCAGTTTGCCTCTTCACCCAGAGCACAGTCAGCCTGTGGAACTCATTGCCAGGGGATGTTGGAAGGCTGAAAGTATAACTGGGTTCAAAATAGAATGAAATAAGTTCATGGAGGATAGGTCTACCAATGGCTATTAGCCAAGATGTTCAGAGACGCAACCCCATGCTCTTGGTGTCCCTGGCCTCTGACCGCCAGAAGCTGGGACTGAATGACAGAAGATGGATCACTCGAAATTGCCCAGTTCTGTTCGCTCCCTCTGAAGCACCTAGCACCGGCCACAGTGGGAAAACAGGATACTGGACTAGACCCAGTATGTTCGTTTGTATGTTCTTTGGGGGGAGGGGGTTGGCCTGGTACAAATGGAACTGAAATAAACATGGCTTTTGTTTAGCAACGGTCACTTATGATCTTGCTTAGGTGCTCCTTCTCCTTCAGTAGATTGGCTCTTTTCCTTGTCAATCAGAGGACAGGCATTCCACCCTCTTGCTTCCAGTGAGCGAAACGAGAAGTGGCTACAGAATAACTCTTGTGTTCTAGTTAGGGGGCTAGCTGGATGGAGGGAGAAGATGTATCCTTGGCTATGCGGTTGAGCTGGTCTCCCCTCCCTGGCCTGTGGGGCCCGTTACATGAAATGACAGAGCCATCCTCTGCTCCAGGCTGCCCCTCACGCAGGCAGAAGGACAGCGATGGGCCTTCCATTGCGGCACTAACCACAGGCCTCGTATGCATCCCCTCCTGCCTGGAACGCGTCAGTTTTATCTTGCAACAAATGAACTGGTTAGTGAATAATCAAAAAGGAGAACGGAACCCACAGCACCCACTACCTAGGTGAGTAGGGGGAGTATCAGAAATTGGAAATGGATTGTCAGCCAAAGCGATGGCTGTCTTTGGGATCGTGCAGATGGTGGTAACACACAAAGGCCTCGGCATCTTTGGAGAAAACCAGTCACCTTTGGGTCTCCCAGCCCAGCGTAAAGCATCAAGTGGAGACCAACTGAAACATGTCCCATCAGCAGAATAAACCATCTCCATTTTGCCCACTCCACATCTGTGGGAGATGTGGCCCTTTTCCAGGCTCTAATAATTACTTTTTTGTTTCCACCGGATACTAGTGGCAAAGGTCCTTGTGACTCATCAGCTGCTGCTTACGCAGATGGCATGGTGTTTTCTTCTAGACCAGCTTGCTGACCCAGTTCTTTGTCAGTTTCATACCCTGAGTACTGTGAAGCTGAGGCGGCCCGTATAGCTGGGGGGACAGAAGAAGAAAAATAACCAGAAAAGTTTGGGTGTTCTCTTGGCAGCCATATACAGAGGACAAATAAATGCTCCTTTCCCATCTTTCCTTAATCCATTTCTTCCTTCCCTTTCCCCACATACCCTTTGAAAATCACAAGTCCTAATGGCAGGCTGCACTTCAGCGATCAAGTAGGCCTGGCATGAGTTTTGATGCTATAAAACAATGCAGACTCTTTAGCGCACATATAACATTGGCAGTATTGCCAATCTCAGGCATTCAAAAATCATGAGTCAGGCCACACACAATCATGAGATTTCAAAAGAAAACTCCCCTCCTCCCCACATATTACTTTTTATAGCTTCTGAGTCTTTAGGGTGTCCTTGAACTGTATTTTCATGCATTTTACTCCAATCATAAAGGGTAGGAACTTATCTTTTTTCTAAAATGAAAGATGAGATTTTTTCCCCCTAATTGCATGACTTTGGGACTTTAAAATGATCTCTCGTGAGATTTATGATGAGATCATAAGAGTTGGCAATGCTGACAGTTTGCCCGATGAAGGAATGTAAAAGGTTATTTACGTTATTTTGAATAAGGTAGAGTATGAATGTAAAGCACTTTAGCTTTACTCCCTATGTGGACACCCTTATTCCAGAGCAGTTATTCTGTACTAGCTATGCCAGTCAATTTCCCTGTGTATGCAAGCCCTAAGACTGGGTCCAGCCTGGCCAAACTTCAGAGCAGCCTTTCCTGTGGGAATACCTGAATCATTAGCACTTTAGCTCTGTAATTGAGACCCCAGTGCTGACCTGCGGAATAACCATGCAATGCTGATTTCTTTGGAACTTGCTCTTTACTCAGCTTTAAGTTCCTAGTGTGAGGTTTACTTGTTTCCTCTCCCCTTCCCTCCTTGAGCACAAGTGTGCACACCTCCCTGAAGTGAAGAACCTCACCCTTCTCCCGTATGATGTACTGAACAGTGCATAAGGTTAACCTGCTTGTTTGTTGGCTGGAGACTGACTGCTTCCTTGCTTTCCTTGTTTCATCACTCTTAGGCTGAACCCTAGAATGGCATTAACCATTCCCTACCACTTGTTTACATTAAATACATCAATGGAAGCACTTTCATTTATGAACAGACAATTTATCTTAAAGGTGTGGCAGCTTCAAACCTTTTTGCAATTCCTCCGATTCCATTAAGGTGGGAAGGGTACAGAGTAGCTAATGTCCGACTAGGAAAGGTATACACCATCGACATGGCTTCTTTAACTTTTCCTCACACAGAAGCAGGGAATGTTTAAGAGCTTTTCCTAAGGAGAACCAGGTGTTGGGGTTTCTTCTTTCCCCAGTGAAGTGCAGTCTAAGAAAATGGAATAGAATGGATGTTTGGATCCTTTTCTAAAATAATCTCATTGTACCCAGGGTAGTTCAGTACTCAAGGCCAGATAATCTCGCCACTGCTTTGTCTAAATGAGCCGTGAGAAATAACTTCAGTTACAGTGAGGCAAATGCTGGCAAATGATAGGTGTAGTTAAAAGCAACAACAAAACCCCCCATTGGTGGCTTTGTTTCAAGAGTAGCCGAATGTAGAATTGAATATGGTAGGTTAAGTCCATTAATGGCTATTAGCCAGGAGGGTAAGGAATGGTGTCCCTAGACTCTGTCTGTCAGAGGGTGGAGATGGCTGGCAGGAGAGAGATCACTTGATCATTACCTGTTAGGTTCACTCCCTCTGGGACATCCCACTGTCGGCAGACGGGATACTGGGCTAGATGGACCTTTGGTCTGACCCAGTACGGCCGTTCTTATGTTCTTACGTAATAACAAAAGTCATTGTAGCTGTCAGCTGGGTTTTTGTTTGAAAATGTTAACTTAGTAGATTGTTTGTTTGTTAAGGTTGTGATTCAGCCAGGCACTTGGGTTTGGTGTCTCCACACTAGTCCTGTTGAGTTGTGTGAAGAACATGGTGTTCATACTGGGTTTGTTAACCCTAGTTGCTGTGGGTACATGCTCATGGAGCAGAGCATTCTGGGAGTTAAGGACACTGCAGGATCACGTGGGTATGTCTACACTGCAAAACAAACAAACAAAACAAAAACCCACAGCAGTGAGTCGCAGAGCCTGGGTCTACAGACTCAAGATATGTCTACACCAGAAATGCCACAGCAGCACAGCTGCTGAACTGCATTGTGGACACTACAGCATCAGATACAGTGTCTGTATCACTGTAGCTATGATCCAGCGGCCGCATCCCGTATCCAGAAACTATTCAGGACGAACCGCCTGAAAGGCCTGAGGGAGATCCTTGATGGGACCTCATCCTACTGCACCATCCAGCCTGAAAGGCTCTATTCCTACTTCAAGGATGTGTTCAATCGCGAGGCCCAGACCGACATGTGATGCTCATCGGATCAACCTCACAGAGGAGCTGAAGTGCGACTTTTCCCCGCAGGAGGTGCTGGCGAGGTTGATGAGGACAAAAACACTGCCCCTGGAAAAGATGGCATCCACTACCACCCGCTGAAGAAGCGAGACCTTGACTGCTTGGTGGTCGCCACCATCTTCAACAAATGCAAGCAGTTCCGCCGCGCTCCCCGCTCCTGGAAAAAATCCATGATGATGTTTGTCCACAAAAAAGGGGAACGAGACGACCCCGGCAACTGGAGACCCACCTCCCTGTGCTCCACCATCTACAAGCTGTATGCCAACTGCCTTGCTGCAAGGATCACGGACTGGTCAGTGTGCAGGGGCGCCGTCAGCTCAGCACAGAAGGGCTTCATGTCCTACAAGGGATGCTAAGAGCACAACTTCCTTCTTCAGACGGCCATCCAGGTGGCCAGGAGGTCCAGGAGGCAGTGCACCATAGCATGGCTCAACCTGACCAGGGCCTTCGAGTCCGTACCCCACAATCACATCTTCGCCACCTGGGAGAGTTTGGGATGCCAGAAACCTTTATCCAGATCCTCCAGGACCTCTACAAGGACTGCACCACCACCACCATCCGCACCATGGACAGAGAGATAGATGCCATCCCCATCCGCTGTGGTGTGAAACAGGGCTGCCCTCTCAGCCCCATCATCTTCAACCTGGCAATGGAACCGCTCATCCAAGTCCTCTCCAGCGGCCCGACTGGCTTCAACCTGC